GATTGTTTTCGGATCCAGGTTTATAGTAGTGTCTGTTTTATCTTCAATCCAATTTAAAAGGTCTTGCCACAGCCTATTTACGTATCTGCATTCAAACATCAAATGAACAATGGTTTCTTGTTCAGCCTTGCAAAATGTACATAGTGGTGATTCTAATATATTATAGTTGAATAAGTCTTTATTGGTTGTGAGAATTCTGTGGACAATACGATATTGAAACCATCTTTCATTAGTGTTATGAACAGCTCTGAATGGTATAAAATGATAGGTATTCCATAAGTCAGGTGGAAAATTGTGATGAAGGTCGTTTTCCCATTTACATTGATATCCTAAACTTGGAATAGATTTAGCCTTGTTTAGCAGCGTTGTGTAGAAAATATTGCAGCCTCTCTTATTTTCATAGAGTATTTTAACATTCGGGGGAATAAAGGGTAAATGTCTTTGCTTTGTCAATAGCGTAGCTTCTTGCTTTGAATATTGTTTTATGGAATATACTAATCCCGCATATTCTAAGAAATTTGTCTCTACTCTATCCATCTCCTTAAACTCAGTGAAATTTTACATTTGCTTGTAAGTAGTGTTCATATAGTATAGATTTGTTTCCAATTTTTATATTGTTATTTGCCCAAATATACTGTTTGCAAAAGTCGGATTTCGTGTAAGGATACCGTTCTTGTAAATCAGCCCAAGCATCCAGAACATCTTTCCATCTTATCAGAGACCTTTTCATTTTATCTGGTTTGCCTCTCCAAATAAATGCGAAGATCTTTTTCTGGATCATTTGAATTGTATTCATTTTGGGGTTTGGTGGTGAGGAAAATAGATGATTGAGTGTGAGCAATATTAGGCTTTTCAGGATAGTTATTCTGCCGAATGGTGTGAGATCTCTAAGTGACCAAAGTTTCATTAATCTATCCAATTTCTTTAGTTCATCTTTATAGTTTCTTTCCACCATTTCTGCCTTATTATGTTGAAATATGATACCTAGCAGTTTGAAAGGTCTTTGCGTCCAGTCCAGATTATAGTCTCTGCAATACTGTGTACTTGAGAATTGTTTAGAACCTATCCACAATACTTTAGTTTTATCAATGTTTATTTTAAGACCAGAGAAGGATGCGTATTGTTTAAGCACTTCTAATGTTGTTTGAAAAGAACGTTCAGACCCGTCTAAGATTATAGTTGTATCGTCTGCGAACTGTGTTAGCAAATATTCTAAGTCAAACATTTTTATCCCTTTTATTTTGTCATTTTGACGTAACACGTGAGCAAGGATTTCTGCGACTATGAGAAATAGATATGGCGATAGAGGATCACCTTGTCTACAGCCTCTAGTAATGTGGAAGAAGTCTGATGCAAAACCATTTTTGAAACGCTAGAATTTATGTTGTTGTAAAATGTTTTAATCCAGTGTTTGATTGATGGTCCAAAATTAAAGAAGTTAAGACATTTCTCAATAAAAGACCATTCCACGGAATCGAAAGCTTTTTCAAAGTCTATCATTATCAGTAATCCTGGTATGTTCATATAGTCTGTATATTCCATAATGTCACTGACCAATCTCGTGCATTCGCCAATGTATCTACCTTTCATGAAGCCTTTTTGATCGTCGCTTATTATTTTCGGGAGTACACGTTTTATTCGGGCTGAAATTACGGACGAGGCTAGTTTATACGATATGTTAAGGAGTGATATAGGTCTGTAGTTTTTAATTTGGTCTTTAGGTTTATCTTGTTTGGGAATACATGTTATAAGGCCCTGTTTTTGGCTTACCGAAAGTTCACCTGTTTGAATGCGTGATTCAACGAGTTAATCAAATATTTGTTAACATCTTGCCAAAAGAATTTGTAAAATTCTGCAGTAAATCCAGATGGTCCAGGACTTTTATTGTTTTTCATATTTTTAAGAGATTGAAGTACTTCATCATATTGTAGTGCGCCTTCCAGGCATTGAGATTCTTCTTCAGTTATTTTAGGTATAGTGCAATTTTTACAAAGTTCTTCAAGTTCTACGTCTTTTATTTCTTTACTAGTATATAGATTCTGAAAGTAATCTTTGGTATGTTTAATAATATCTTTAGCTTCAAATATAGTACCGTGTTCAGTTTCTAATCTAGCAGCGGATGTATTTTGAAAGTTTTGTTTTTCAAGTGACAGGAAGTATTTCGACGGTTACTCTCCCTGTTCATACCATTTCGCTTTCGATCTTAGTATAATGCCTTCTGTTTGGATCGGTTAAGTTCTAATTCTTGTTCTTTGAGTTCATTTATTTCTTTTAATAATTTATCTTTATATTCTTCGTTCATGGCTGCATCTAATTTGACGTCAAGGTTTTCAAGTGCTTCTTTGGTTTCCTGTTCTGCTTTAATTCTTTCTTTCTTTTTTGAGATGAATATTTAATTGTATATCCTCGAATATTACATAATAAAACTTTAAAGAATATTTATTGGTTTATCATTAATACTCGATCTCCTTCAGTGGATCGACTATGATACTGATCAACAGTTTCTTGAATAATGCTTTTGATTTCTTTCACATAATGTGGATCTTGTAATAAACTATTATTAAAGTTCCAGAAGCCTCTACCCCTTTCTATTTTTGTGAATTCAATATGTAAAGAGATTATGGAGTGATCAGATCGATAACTAGGTTCTATTTTAGTGCAGGTTACTGATTTTTCCATGTTTGGGCTTACGAGAAAAAAATCTAACCGTGCTTGTTTTAGGGGTTCCGGCTTTCTCCAAGTGTACCTGCGTACATTTACATTGTTTGCTCGCCATGGATCATATATAAACTGAGTTCATCAACCATCTCAAGTACTGCTTCCTTTGATTTAGGATTATTTATGTGCAGATAGTTGAAGGTGTCTAGGTTTTGATCTTGAACCAGATTGAAATCACCAAATATTACATTTGTTTCTGTTTCCAAGTTTTTTACAATGTGTTTTATGTTATGATAGAAATCTGGCGTGTCGGTATTTGGTCCGTATATATTTGTTATGCTTATTAGTTCGTTTTCTAGTTGAACCTTAAGTATTATATAGTTTCCATTATTTTCATCTCTTATTTCTTGTAGTATTTCAAATTCAAAATTATCTTGAAATAGGATGGCTACACCTCTAGACTGACTTGTAAATGAACAACAGCGTACTTCAGATGATCCCCATTCTAGTTTAATTTTCTGCTCTATATCCTTAGTAAAGTGTGTATCTTGTAAACAGTAAATATTTCCATTTCTTTTCTTTAAGTTTTCAAAAACATCAATTCTTTTCTTTTCATTATTTATTCTTTGGCAATTTGTAGAGAAAATATTTAGTTTATGTGCCATCATGTGAATTTTTTGTGCTAGCAACCAGAGTTATTGTTTCACTTGTTGAGCAAACAGCCAACTGTACCAATGTTATAATGTAGTGCTTCCCTGTGCGAAATGAAAGTGAATATCTTATTGAAAAACATAACTGAAAGATTAAACAAAGGATGATGTTCCAGAATCTTGGTCCATGATGAGGAAATGACGTGACAGCTGCTCGCTATATTGATTAAGTCATAAGATCCCATGTTGTACCACATTTTGGGCGTTACAGAAATCACATCTTCCAGCAAGACAACGGTCGTGCCACGCTGTTAGAGCACCATTGGATTTCCTAAGACAACATGGCATCCAAACCCACCAATAGCCTGCACTCCGTCCTAATTTAAGTCCAGTACAAGACCTTTGGGACGAGATTCAAAGAAGACTGAATGGCCTCCAACCAAGGCCGACAACTGCGACTGGACTCGATCAGGCATTTCGCAGTGTATGGAGCCAAGTGGCTATGGCCTTCATCGACCGGCTACTTCATTTCATGTACAGACGATGCAACGATTTCATCGATGCCCATAGAGGCCACACACGATACTGACTTTGGGGTATCTTAATGGTACCATTTTTGGTTATTTTGTTTGTGTGAACTCTAAATGTGATTCCCGAAAATGTGTTAACCATAATTGTCAAGTTTGAACTCAGTCCTCCATTTTGATTGTTAATTAGAGTGAATTAAAGTGTGTGTTTTAAAAAACCGCTATCAGTGCGACATTTCTTATGTGAAACCAATGTCCGCGTCTCCGCCGAGACATGTTTCCAAAAGCGGTGTATAAACATACTGACTCAAGCTTACCTCCCAAACATCATTATCCATGCCGCATTCACTGAAACCAGTTAGTGTTCATGTTCACATTACAGTTTGGGTATAATGTATCCAGCTGATTCTTTCTTTATTTTCATCAGAATATCGAGGTTATTTTTCGGGAGAACAGCATTCCTGTAGCAGTAATGTCCCCTTGTATGAGGCCATGAGTTGTGTTCATGTTTCAGCACTATTGTCGTCATCAACAGATGGAGCAAAGTTTTTAATTATTCACATGAAAGTACAAGTGTTCCTTTATTTATTCCCAGAATTTCACCCACAGTGCAATACATACCTTGTGAAGAAACCTGGAAAAACAATAACGGAACACTTGTACAGTCATGTGTTCCCTTAGTCATTTCCATGAGTATATACTCCAGGTCGACATGAGGGCCCAATTGCGTAGATCGATGCTCATACTGTTGATCACTGGATTGTCTGGTCCACACTTGATTATTTACAGGCAGCCGCCATATAGCTGGAATATTGCTGAGTGCGGCGAAAACTCACACACTCACTCGACACGAGGGACCAACTTATGGAATCCTGGAAGGGACATTGTCGCGTTGCCGCGTTGTCGCGTTGCCGCGTTGTCGCCCTTTCAAAAACAAGCAAAATGAGGCAAAATTAACCAAAGCGCGACAACGCGACAATGTCCCTTCCAGGATTCCATACAAACTACTCAGTATTCGGAAGTGACTGAGAGCATGGAACTATACTAGAGGCATAAAAAAGTTTCGGTCAAATTTTCAAGAAATATTATATCTTAGATCTGATAATGGGTTATTGTGACCCACGTGGTTTATGCTATCTGTTCAACAAAGATGCATACAATTGTTTGGGACTTGAGGTAAAACTGAACGTTTAGATCAGCTTGACATTTATGACATCACGAAATGGAAGACAATATACCGAACAAAGACTTTGTGATATAACCAACGACATCAGTAGCGCCTCACGTGCCCCTTGCCTTGACATACTTAACAGCATGGCTGTGAGGGTGACGATAATCTAGGACAGACTAAACTTCTCACCAAGGGTGAGTCGGCAATATTGTACATAAAGTGGTCGATCAGCAATCCAGCCATCCGTCACCACAGCTATAATATCAGGAGCTAGTCGGACGCCACATTAATATAACGCCTGTAGCTTGAATAACAGACCCACTGGTGTGTGTGTAGAGAGCTGTATAGTCGTGAGGAAGAGTCAGGTCCGGCACTTGGAACAAAACAGGTTAGTCCTCTCTCTGACATGTTTTATAATGCTCAAGGAACACTGCTATTTGCAGTTATTATGTGTGGTCATTAGTTTCCATTCCAACTCCTCGTGGTACCGTAAGCTGTTGTTTCTCATGAACGACTTGGTTTGATAATGAGTATTAGTGTAAGTTTTTCAGTGGGTCCATATTGCTGAACTGATTGCATGATTTGATAAGCTACTACACATGTGGGGCGGGTCACGGCAGTGTGAGAGTGCAAGCTTGGTGCTGTTTTGAATTCAAAACAGTGGCCTGAGTGGGGTAGGGTCATTGACTTCTCTTGACCAGGCCTTCCTATCTATCGGAAACAAAAGAAGAAAATGGGCTGAGATTTCACACGCATTGGGAGTAAAGAACTGCAATGCAATATATGTAACTGCATATAAATGTGAAACGAAAGCGTATAAAATTGGAATAAACTACAGTTGCTAGTTGACTACGCATACAACAGCTATCGGACTATAAAAGATGACCCAATTCGTTCAGCCAGCTGGTGTTGTAAACTTCAAGAAAGGATGAGCCCCGTATAGCATGGGCCGGGCCAAAGGTCAAAAGTTAAACTGGATTACAGAGTAATTAAACCATACGTATTGGTAAATACCTCTGGACATAACGCTTAGTCCCTGAATAGATACAATTTTGATAGTAACAAATAATTTTATTTCAATTGTAAAGGAGCCCAAGCTAGTGATTCCATAGCTAGTGATTCCATAGAAAATCTAGACTTGCTTCAATAATTGCTTTGGCATTGCAGGGGGGTAGGGGAAATAACGTGGTTCAGGGACTGTGAGACAGACTACATTGCAGGGAGGACTAGGCAGTAGGGGAAATAACGTGGTTCAGGGACTGTGAGACAGACTACATTGCAGGGAGGGACTGTAGGCAGTAGGGGAAATAACGTGGTTCAGGGACTGTGAGACAGACTACATTGCAGGGAGGACTAGGCAGTAGGGGAAATAACGTGGTTCAGGGACTGTGAGACAGACTACATTGCAGGGAGGACTAGGCAGTAGGGGAAATAATGTGGTTCAGGGACTGTGAGACAGACTACATTGCAGGGAGGACTAGGCAGTAGGGGAAATAACGTGGTTCAGGGACTGTGAGACAGACTACATTGCAGGGAGTGGTAGGCAGTAGGGGATATGACGTGGTTCAGGGACTGTGAGACAGACTACATTGCAGGGAGGACTAGGCAGTAGGGGATATGACGTGGTTCAGGGACTGTGAGACAGACTACATTGCAGGGAGTACTAGGCAGAAGGGGAAATAACGTGTTCAGGGACTGTGAGACAGACTACATTGGGACTGTAAGACAGAATAACTGGTTCTGGGACAGGCTACATTGCATGGAGGACTAGGCAGTAGGGGAAATAATGTGGTTAGGGACTGTGAGACAGACTACATTGCAGGGAGGGCTAGGCTATAGCGGAAATAACGTGGTTCAGAGACTGTGAGACCGACAAATTTATCCCCAGTGTCCACAAATTTACAGTATTCCTCATGGAACTGAGTTTGAGTCCAAATGTATATTCAACAATATGATAAAGAGATAGATATGACTTGTTGCTCCAAGAACACCTATTGTCTTGATTTCTGTTTGCTTATTTTTTGTTCATTATTAACGACAGCAAGTGTGATTAGCCTTCCTTATCAACATTTACTCGATTGTGTAAGACCAACACATGCTATTTTTCTGGAAGTACTAATGTCAAACGTGCTGACACAACACTTGTTATCGTTTTTAGCAATGTCAGCACTGAAGAATGAGGACAATCTGTATGGTTATACAGCTTCTTTATTCTGTTTTGGCGACGTTTCGACATAGAATAAAGAAGTTGTATGTCCATAAAAATTGACCTCATTCTTCATCTCCTCAACTGCTCGAATGCCAATCGAAGAAGAATTTCAGCACAGTTAAAATTAATATAAATACGATTTAATGAGACATGTGCGTTCTTAAAGCACATTATTTAAATTGCAGTGCAGTGGGAGGAGTGTGTTCTTTACGCCTATTTTAGCAATATTCCAGCAATATCAGCAATATCACCAGAAATGGGTTTCACAGAAAGTACCGCTGTGGGAATCAAACCAGGGCTATGACGTGACGAACAAACGCTTTAACCACTAGGCTACACCACCGCCCCAGCATCTGTATACGTAAGTATGAGATTATAGAGAGGTAAAGAGATAAACAGTTCGTATTGTTATATCTATTACACCTGTAATTCGCCTGTTTAATTGTCCCTTGTGTAAAGGCAATCAAACGAGTTACTAGGCGATCAAGCGACACATTACACCCAATTACCTACCACGTGCCCCCAATAGTATTTAATTGACTGCCTCTGGTTATCTCCCAATTGACAGAAACCCATTTGAGAGACACCCAATTGGCAGACACTGAACTAGAAGGTTAATTAGGGTAACACCTACGGGTATAATGGAATAGTCCACTGTCCAGTGAGCAGAGCAGGGTGAGCCTGAAACAGGTTCGTTACTGAGAAGTTTGATTGTGGGTAAATAGAACTTTGTTGTGATTAATTGATAAATGATTTCTCTTCTCAAAATTGATTTTACTATCAATTACTGTCGAATATAAAACAGGTTTGTCACTGAGAGGTTTGATTGTGTTTATTGATAGAAAAGACCCTCCCAATAATAGCATATGTACAACAGAAATTAACTGAGATAACGTTATGTTGGAGAGATATAGATATGTACATGTTTGAAAACATTCTGATTTGCAGTAAATGAGACACCTGCATTGCCCAGTAAGATACGATTAATACCAACTAGTGTTCTAATTTTAACAATACTTTCTAAAGATTGTAACAGTTTGTGTTTTTGAGTAGTATACAATGGACATTCAAGGAAGTAATGAAAAACATTCTCACATGCATGGTCACCTTCACATGATGCGTCATATTTTAAACAATTATTCTAAATAAATCGTAGTTAAGTGCACTCGTCATATATCTTAATATTGTGTGCAAAACATATAACTTCTTTATTCCATATGAAAACTATTTAGGTTCATATTTGACTTTATTTGATTTATACGATACAACAGTGTCGCAATTTCTTATAGCTAAGTTAATGTTTTCAATATGATGATGCCAACTCCCGTTAGACTAGAAGGTTAAACCGAAATGTTTATGAAAATAAACTGTTTTTATATTGCAGCAATAAAAATTCAAATTACTGTCTTTTCGTCCATCTTTCAAAATAAGCAATATAGCTTCAGTTTGCACCTATGTTTTTATTTGGACTATTCCATTATAATGTGTAGGTAACAGGTAGTAGATAATCTGTTCACTAAACCGTAAATGTTGTTGTTTTAAGTTGTCTGCGAACTGGCTGTCTGCGTAATGGGAGGACACCCTGCCTCTCACTCATTATTCACTTCGCTGAAGCTAATCAATTAATTTCCGAAACAAATGTATATCATCCGTTGAACCTGCATTTACATGTCGGCCCTAAAATAATTTTGTAAGCCTTTAGTTTCATGTCCTTGAAAAGACGAACTATAATAATAATTTATCGTTAACTTGTCGTTATTATTGATACGAAAAATAATAATTCAAACCAGAAAAACCCTATCACTGAAAAACCTTTGCAGCGTTAGAATAAAGAAGTGTTTTCATGACACCATGACGTGATGTGTAATGGCTCTATGTTTTAAGCAGTCACTTTTAGAAACATCTTCATAAGCTAACCAGGGTTGGTAGGGTAGCCTAGTGGTTAAAGCGTTCGCTCGTCACGCCGAAGACCCGGGTACGATTCCTCACATGGGTACAATGTGTGAAGCCCATTTCTGGTGTCCCCCGCCGTGATATTTTTGGAATATTGCTAAAACGACATAAAACCTCACTCACTCTCTCACTATATAAGCTATAACCAAGCTCACAAGGCATCAAGGGATATATCGTCACTAACGGGGTCTTTGCACTATCAGGGACAATATATACCTTGATTCCAGCTGTTTTGTGGTTGTTGTTGTTTGGGGTGGGGGTGGGGGGCATTGTGTATGTTTGCGTTTCACCCCCCTGGATATGCAATAACATCAGTAAACATATTATTGCGAAATTCAAACGTTTGTAATGACTATAATAATAGGTCAAACACAGTATCCGTTCCTGACATGTCTGTGGTTTCCAGTCAGCTTAACAGTGTTATGATTATTAATGTAAATGCACTACTATGCTCTGCCGTAGTTGTAAAAGCAGCACATGCGTGTGTCACCAAACAAGCTGTCGCTGTGGCTAACAATGCTGTTTATGTCGTCAAGAATGTTGAAGTAATTAGATACTATTAGAAGCTTGTTATTTGTGAGAACTGACGGTTTACTTTACTGAGCATGTGCTGACCTGTGAACTGTATACATGTACACATTATGAAACGGTTGTCTTGTTCCATCGTTACGGGGGAAAAACAGTACAATTTGGGCCACACTTATTGTCCACAGGAACTACTAGCTTCTGCATACTTTGAAATATCTACAAGTATTCAACTCTTAATGATGTCCTCTAATATGCGTAAGATTTTATGTTTGCATTATTTGCACATGTGAATCTTATATTAAACTTCTATATATCTGTATTCTACATTCTACACATTCTACATTCTGTTCTAAGATGCTTCTGTGAAAGATCAAAGGCGCCCACAGTACTTTATCAGACGATAATGTGCACTTAGCGCTAAGACTACCTTAAGTCTATGTTAAGGTATGGGAGTTACGGTCACCTTAGCGCTAAGACTACCTTCAGTCTATGTTAAGGTATGGGAGTTGCGGTCACCTTAGCGCTAAGACTACCTTAAGTCTATATTAAGGTATGGGAGTTACGGTCAACTTAGCGCTAAGACTACCTTAAGTCTATATTAAGGTATGGGAGTTGCGGTCACCTTAGCGCTAAGACTACCTTCAGTCTATATTAAGGTATGGGAGTTGCGGTCACCTTAGCGCTAAGACTACCTTAAG